AGAACGTGTTCCTGACGCTACCGCTCGGACCGAGCTCCCCCCGTGCTCCCCGCGCTGCCTTGCCGCAGGACGGGCACTCGTTAGCCCTTGGCCAGCCATTCCCGCGGAGCACTCGCCGCTCTCCTCCCCAGCGCTGGCGCCCGTGGCCGGCGCTCCAGGGACAGAAACCACCCATGGAGCTGCTTTGTTCTCCACTCCTGGCGGCTCTTCTTTTATTCATATCCCCTTTGGCTTAAAGTTACAGGCAGTTTCTTCCCTGCGAGCTCTCTGCACAATAACGGCGGCACCCAAATATCTGATGCGAGTGCTGGCTGGGGCGCCAGCGGCTTCAGGCAGACGGCACCAGTTAAACCCAGGAGCTCCAGGACACGCTCAGGCCATCCTGCTGCGGGCAGTTCCTGCCTCCCCTCACCCCCTTTCTCCCCAGGTGCGTGGCTCTCCACTCCTACATGGCTCACGGACCAGACGAGCTGGAGCTGCAGAAGGGAGAAGGGGTCCGTGTCTTCGGGAGGGACCAGGACGGCTGGCTGCGGGGCATGTCCCTCGTCACCGGGAGAGTCGGCATCTTCCCCAGCAACTACGTCGCTCCCCTCTTCAGGTCTGCTTTTCCTTACATGAAATAAAAATCCGTGGAGAGGGGGTGGGTAACATGTAGGATTTGGGGTCTTCTTGTTCCCGCAGAGGAATCGCTGCAAAGGATCCCTGCAGCACTAACACGGGCCGGGGACTCCTCGCCAGGCAGGATCCCACCCAGCAGCTCTCACTCCTTGTGTTTCTCCATGTAGGGACGCGGCCGCATGCACCGCGTGGGAATCACATCTGCCTCCAGCAGCCGGGTGTTGCGGCAGGGAGAGCCCAGGGAGCGGGGGGGGCGGCAGCGTTCCCCTTGGAGCGATGAGCAAACAGCACATCAGCCTTCATCCGCTTGGTTTAGCCTGGGATGTTGGCAGAGACACCAGCAGCTTCGCCCGTGACTGTGTCATTCAGCCCAGGAGCTCTGGCCGAGCCCCGTAGGTGACACAGCCGGCACGTTCTGAGCAGTGACTCTGGGAGCCGGCACAAACGGCAGCGTGTCTGCGCTCGGACTCGCCTTCTACTCCTTTTAGATGACTCCAGTCTTTTTTTTTTTTTCCTGCCAGAAGGGAAACCACAAGCTGACAGCTCTTTTACAGTCAAAACGCTGTCTTTGGAGCCGGCGTTTAAGCACTGAGCTCCATTGATCTAGCTAAACAAACGTGCATAAGAAAGGGCAATAATTAAAATATACAATTTAGGAGAGGAAAAAAAAAGTTGCCTGTGCCCTTAGTTGCCCTGAGGCGGGCTCAGGTCAGGCAGAGAAGGGAAGGACAGTCTAGATGTAGTGCTCTGCTTCGGCAAAGAGGAAGCGGGGCTAAGTCAGGACACCTCTGCCAGGGCTGTAATTTCGTTATTTGGAACAGGGTTTCCACGGCTGGAAGCTCCCTACAAGGTCCAGCCCCATCTGCAGGAGCAAAATTTGGGTAAACTACAGAGGGAGGGCTGGTGTCTGGAGGTCCCTTTTGAAATGCCGTGGGGTTACTGTAACGAATCCTAACCCTATTTGGGAATAATTTTGTATAAATCAGGTGCAGAAAGATGAAATCCCTCATTATAATGGAATCAGGAACCTGAACTAACTGCATCATCCACAGCATCTCCCACCAAAGCCCTGACTCAGGAGCAGAGCAGGGGCATCAAAACCACTAAGTTCCCTGTTGGGCAAACTCCTGCTTTCTTTACAAAGCCCCAAGTCCAGTCTGAGCTTATTTTCTTTTCAAACAGGAAATCCAATCTGTCCGACTCAAAGATGCCTTCCCTGTACGCCTCGTGGACGCTGTCAACCTCCTCACTCTCCTCCCAAGGGAGCATCTCGGAAAACGGCCTGAGACAAAGCAGACCTTTGAAATCGGCGCTGCTGCCCGTGCCCGTCACCTCGCCCGGGAGGAGCGCGGCCGCGGCGGCTGCGGGACAGGCATCGCTGCGGCGCAGCCGCGGCAGCACGAGGAAGAGTAAGTGCTTGGGGGTCTCTGGGATGGAGATGCCAGACGCATCCCTCCCAAACCTTACTGGCTGCCTGCAGTTAGCACCGAAGCCA